GAAGGAGCTCAGGACCATCTGGCTGGAGGCTACGACGAGACAGCGTGCCATTCAGGAGGACGTACATGCGAATTGACGTGTCGTTCGGAGCAGATTCGAGACGGTCAATAAGTTGTCACAGAGAAGAATCATGACGTTGTTCATCACCAATGTGAAGAAACTGGGACATTGACATGACGCTGAGGCTAGGCTCGATGTCTGGTTCATTGGGATGATCAACAGGGTAGCGGGATAAGCAATCGGCGTCCAGATGGAGACGTCCAGACTTATAAGCAACCGAGTAGGAACACTCCTGTAGGCATAATGCCCAACGACCAAGTCGTTCAGTGGGGTCTTTCAGAGAAGAAAGCCAACACAGCGCGTGATGATCTGTGATGACACGGAGCAGGCGGCTATACAAGTAAGGACGGAATTTGTAAACCACCCAAACAAGAGCGAGACATTCCCCTTCTGTTATAGAATAATTGCGTTCAGACGTAGAAAGCAGATGGCGTGCGTACGCGATTACTCAGTCGTTGCCCCGCTGAATTTGCGCCAAAACTGCACCAATTCTGTGACCACTCGCGTCTGTTCGCACTTCTGTAGGAGCATCGGGGTCGAAATGGGCAAGATTAGGAGGTGTCGTTAAAGCGGTGATTAGCTGAGAGAAGGGGTCAGCTTGAGGAGGGCCCCAACAAAAAGGGACGTCTTCTTTGAGAAGGTCGGTGAGTGGCCGTGCGAGTGCCGCAAAGTTTTTCACGAACCGGCGAAAGTAGGAGCAGAGGCCCACAAAACTGCGAGCATCATGGACAGAGCATGGGACTGGGAAGTTTGTTACAGCGCGTATCTTCGCCGGGTCTGGCCGTACGCCGGCAGCGTCAACAAGGTGTCCCAATACGGTAATCTGACAAAGACCGAAGTGGCACTTGGAGGAATCGAGCTGCAGGCCGGCCCGTCGAATTATGGATAGAATGGTCGAAAGGCGTTCAAGGTGGGTTGCAACTGTAGGCGAGAAAATGATCACGTCGTCCAGGTAACACAAACATGTCGACCATTTAAATCCTTGTAGAAGCGTGTCCATCATTCTCTCGAAGGTCGCTGGAGCGTTGCAGAGCCCGAATGGCATGACCTTGAATTGGTAAAGACCGTCAGGGGTAACGAAGGTGCTCTTTTTTCGGTCCATGTCATCTACGACAATTTGCCAGTAGCCAGATTGGAGGTCGACAGAAGAAAAGAAGGTGGCGCCATGGAGGCAATCAAGGGCATCGTCAATGCGTGGTAGAGTGTACACGTCTTTTTTGGTAATTTTGTAGAGGTGGCGATAATCAACACAGAAACGCCATGAGCCGTCTTCCTTTTTTACCAATACCACGGGAGATGCCCAAGGGCTCGTTGATGGTTCGATTACGTTTTTCGTAAGCATTTTGGCCACTTCTTTCTGAATCACTACTCGCTCGTACGCTGACACGCGGTACGGCGGACGGTGAATGGGCGCAGAGTCACCAGTGTTGAATGGGTGAGTGACAATTTTAGTCTGGCCCTAGGGACGATCGTCGGTGTCAAAAAAGTCACTGTATGAGGCCGAAACTTGGCATCGAGCGTCGGCCTGGTGAGGCGACAGCTCCGTTCTAATCATGTTTCGAAAAAATACCATCGTCTGAGCTGGGTGATCGTGACACTGCTTCGATCAAGAGCAGATACAGTGACCACACTGACATCGTCCTCTATTACGGCAGTTAGCTGGGCTAGAGACATCTGGCAGGGCAACACTTGAGGGGTGAAACCAAAGTTAAGGAGTGGAAGTAACACACAATTATCCGCTATGGTCGCGATGGTATAGGGCACAGTAACACTGCGCGTCAGCCGAACGTCAGTAATTGGCGTAATGATATAATCACCGACAGGAACGGGAGTGGTCGATGACAAAGAGACGTACGTGACGGCTCAAGGTGGCAGGCGAACGAAAGTGGTTCGGCTCAAGCGGCTGGTGGGCTTTGCAGAGTAGTCGGCAAAGATTGGTAGACCAAGGCTGAGGGTACCAGACGAACAATCAATTAAGGCCGAGTGTGCCGGAAGGAAATCAAGGCCAAGTATGAGGTCATGAGGGCAGCAGGCTAGCACGGCAAAAAGGATCTCGGCGTGACGACTGGCAATGCTGACACGAGCAGTGCACATTCCGATTACTGGTACAGTACCGTCATGGGCAACACGTATATCCTGCGTGATCGATGGCGTCATCAAGTTTGTAAGCGGCAGCGTAGAGAAGCGCTCATAAAAGACAGGTGCGCACCTGTGTCAATAAGGGCGGTCACAGCAACATAGTCGACTTGTACTTCAAGGAGGCTATGGTGCGTGGCAAGCGTCAGTAGAGGATTTTCGGCCATCATTAGTATTGCAGCTTCACCTCTATAAGCTGCAATATCTAGTTTTCCTGCTGCGGTCGTCCAGAGAAGCTCGGCGAGGAAAAGCGCCGAGGTGGCGGAGAGTGGGATTGGCGACGTAGCGGCGACGGGGAGCGAGAGCTGCGGCGACCGGACGAAGGGGCATCAGGGTAGCGGCGACCGGGCAAAGGGGCGTCAGTGGAAGGCTCGTAAGATGATGACGAATAGAAATTGAAGCGTGCGGTGACTGAACGTCGAGGGGACGTCGGATGCATGAGCACCGAGGTAGAGAAAGTCTGACCTGGTTGGTTTGACCAACGGTGGCGGCAATAGCGAGAAACGTGCCCAGGCTGGTGGCAAGAAAAACAAATAGGCCGGTCGTCGGTTGTTCGCCATTCCGAAGGGTTACGAAAGAGCATTCTTTGAGGTTAACGGCGAGCATGTCCTCTGGAGTAGGACGGGACTTCAGGGCGAGTCAAGGGACATGCTGATGGAAGGCCGAGGTTCGCAAACTCCTGCCTCACCACAGCTTGTATTAACGCCACTGACGGCTGTTGTTGGTCAGAGGCCAGCGTTGCGAAAACGGGTGGCTGAAGAGGAGCCGGAAAGGCAGCCTTGATTTCCCGACGAACAATGCGTGTGACGTTGTTATACGTGGGTGGCTGGCGGGCGGCTTCACACGATGAGGTGGCGGCCGTGTTGGCCAGCAGGGTGAATCGCTGAGTAATATGGCGGCTCTTGGCTTCTTCGAACCGCCGGCACTCTTTAATGATGGCGTCGACGGTGGCAACGTTGTTGTAAACTAGAAGATTAAATGTGTCGTCTGCTATGCCTTTCAGCACATGGGCCACTTTCTCAGACTCACTCATGTGCTCGTCAATCTGGCGGCATAGGGTGATGACGTCGCGAATGTGCGCGACGTACGACTCCGTCGACGTGTGTGCACGAGCCGCCAGTTGATTCCGCGCTGCGATCTGCCGCCCAACGGTGTCGCCAAAAAGGTCGCGGATCTTCTCGTTAAAGGAGTCCCAGCTCGTAATCTCCGCTTCGTGCGTCTCGAACCAAATTCGCGGTGGGCCATCGAGGTAAAAAAGCACATTGGCAAGCATAAGAGTCGCGTCCGGGACACCTATAGCTTGCGCTGACCCGTTCGTACCGGTTGATCCATTTGTCGACGTCAACGCCATCCTGTCCAAAAAATACACCGGAATCACGAACAGGAGGTAGAACGACGTATGTAGAACTCACAGTAGGGGTAGGTGGCGAAGACGATTGTTGTTCAACCCGTGACATGGTTGGACCTATGATGATGCGGCCGTTGCAGAGCTTCGTGATGAAGACGGGGAAGTACCCAGCACCTCCACCACGAAGATGTTACGTAAAAATGACACGAGGCGTGTCTATTCAAAATCTATAATCAAACTGATGCGTATGGCGTCGACTAAGATGGAAGACAGCACGCACAACCGACAGACCACTTCCTCGTTGTCGTCTTCTGACCGCTGATACGTCACCTACGTAGCAATATTTATGGGATGAATTTCCACAGAAGCTGCGCTTCATGTTTGCCCTACAGTCAAGTTAGGCCGTGTTGATTTTGGTAAACGTCGTATTAACCAAACTGGTCATCAGTCCTAAGTGGCTAGATAGGCGGACAGGTGTGATCAATATCTCAGTTAAATTTATTTGAAACTACATGGATCGGTGCTAACCTTGTAGTGTAGAGTACCAATGACCAATGGCCATTTCGCTCAAAGAAAGCGTGCTACGGGATGCCATACGCGCACATGGGCAGGTGTGGCAATAACTTTAACATATTTGTGGCATAAAATGGGGCGAGCACGCATAAGGCAGGGTAAACTTCAAATAGTCGGAGGGGGTATCCTTCACGCAGGGAACACATGCAGGTTGTAAGGACACTAAGGTAAGGTAAATCAATATTTTTTCTGCACGCTGTTGTTAATGTCATTGTTATTGCCATCATGCTTCATGCTTTTGCGGTCGTCGCCATGGTTGTTCTTGTTGTGTCAACAATTCTTGAAAAGTGGGACTGCTCATAGATGATCACGGTTCATTAATGCAGATATCAACATCATTATAATATACCTGTCACAAATTCATTACTCCGCTTTCGAGCGCTTGCATTGAAAATCAAGCGAACGTGGCCTAATACCATGATTAGTGTAAACTTTCGCACCTACGTGCAGGTGTATCTACTAAAAGAATGTACGTACGCCGAGTTCACAAGGCTTAGGCGTCCTTCGTAATGCCCGGAAACGTGTAAATGAAATTCACCCTAGCGTATACACTCGCTCGAAGTTTCCGATCTTCGAGCACGTGCACGCCACCTGCATATCCGTACGGTCGTCGGCCGCCACACCGGCATTTTCTCGTTATTGAGCTCATGCGTCGAAAATTGGCCGACATTTTGTGTAGTGCCAAGAACGAGTACAATAAAAAAGTAAAGAATAAATCATAAAAAAGGAAGCATCTCGCCACGCGCCTGTATTAAATGTACTTAGCTCTGCGCAAATCGATGCATTTGTGTTTAGTTCCGAAAGCCAGTTAAGTACCTGTAAGACAAAAAGAGAAACAGCGGGAGGATGTGAAGACACAGAGTGCGCTTGCACGCGAGTCCAATGCGCAATAAAAGTGCTGCTTGTGAACAATATAGAGGTCGCTACACAGTTGCGCAGAAAGAACTTTCTAAGGCCGCTGTCACTCACACCTCACTTTTCTTCTCCATCTTAAAAAAATTGCCTTCGAAAACCAGCCAAAAGACTGACAGTGCTTACTCGCACTTGAGCTCTGTAAAGGCTTTGTAAAGAATAAGTTACAGCCGCTTCCAGATTCGCCAGCTCAAAAACCACTGGACCTCATCGAAACAAGGCAAGGAATTTTATGTATCTGCACTTGGCGTAAGTCGGCTACCAGCATTTCAGAAGATGGGACACTGCATTGTTTCTTCGATTCCGGCAGTGGCAATCTCATTTTAAAATAAGTGCTAAAGATCGGTGTGATGGCACTGTACGTGAAAAAAAACCTGTTTAGTCAAGTTATTCGTACACTTTCACTCTGGCATCACTCTGAATAGTGCTTGGAGTTCGAGACCCAGAAATCAACGAAAGAATTAAGTTGCTACGTTTATTCTTCTGCTCCAGTAACGCCATGTCAGACTGGAATCTAAAAGCAAATTGATTGAGTGATCATGTGATAAACCGAAACAAATCCAATGTGAAAACGTGTGTGAGCACGTAACTGACATTACTACAGTCGCGTGGAGCAAGTGTTTCTGTGTTTTTTGAACCATTACATTCTTGATAATTACGAGAAAGACTTGCATTTAAATGCCTCATTTGTTCTCTAGCGGAAGACCTTGCATAAGAAACCAAAAACTGTCCCGCTTTGGGTCCGGTTGTTCAACCAGCGTTTATTATGTATAGGGGGCTTTCGCATTAGGGTTTGTTTATGAGCAGATTATGGAGAGTTGTCAGATAAAAAAATACCACACCTATCATGCGCCAATACAGCTTTTTGCCATCCACGAGCTTTCAGGTCTCAGCCCGTGTTATTATGTTTAAAAACTTACAACTATTGATTTTTCTGTTTACGTCTTTTTCACAGCAGGCAAATGTCACAAGTGCGTAATTGAAGGTCACCAGGATCCTTGTTAGACCATTTACTCATCTAATGGGCTTGTCTTTTCTCTTTCTAATCAAATAATTTTCTAGACCATGCAGACGAACTCACCCTTTTAATAGAATAGATTTTACTAATACAAGGTACTAGTACTGAAATTCATGTTAGTGCCCGGTGATAGTGTATTATTTCTTTCATTATTGCTTAGGGCGAAAGAACGAGTATTGTAGTGCACTGTTGGTTTTGTTGCCTCTACCAGTGCTTTAAAAGAAGTATGCTCCGACGTGCTCATATTTACCGTGATCTATGGAGTACTTTGGAATGTTAAGGCATACAGCTAATCCTTCGTTGCAGAGCGTGCAGAAGCTTTGTCAGTTTAAAGTGGCCAGTCTATAAGAGATTTGGAAGAATGAGGCAGATCAACTTAATATATATTTTAAGGAAACCCAAGCTTTAGTTGCCGGACTGGCTTCTTCCTTAAGGATGAGTGGGTTAGAGATGTGTGGCGCTTATCTATGGTTTCTTGCCTTTCGTGATAGGCTCATCTGGTCTCATTGCAAGCCCTTGCAAGTAGAGGATGCCCTCCCTCTACTTCACTCCATGACTTCACAATGCAAAGAACTTTTTCACCAATGTACCTAAAGACCGGCCAGGGGCAAATGGAAGTCGATAAGTCGTACCTAGAAAAGACGCCATTCCTAATACCAGACGACCTGATCAGTTCGAAGTCATGCGCTTTGGTCTTAGTTCCGCCGCTGCAATGTACGAAGGCGCCAAGAATACAAAAGAGGCCAGTTCCAGTCATCAGACGTGACTCAATAACTTGGCCGGCATCATCGTCATTTTCTCGAACTTGTATGAACACCTCCGATGTTTTGAAGTTGTACTGCAAGCAATAAAAACCTCTAGATTTACATAAAAGTAAGAAAAGTGCCGCTTCGCATACGAGAACTTTTGTTTGTGGTCAATGACATTAGCATGCCTGGCGTTCCCCTAGCCCTACGGAAAACAGCTGCAATCACTGCGTTTCCACCACACAGCGACAAGATGGCCATACGCTGATTTCTTGGCTTGTACAACTATTACACGTGCTTCATCAAGAAAAATTTATGGATTGCCGAGCCGCTAACATCTGCGCGTATTCATTCGTACTCACCAATAGCGTAGTTAGCTATTGTTTCCACGTTACCAGGGCCTTTCTTCTCGTGTGTCTTTCGTGCTGGGGCTGAAAATTTTAAGCTGTTTTCCATTCTTCACGCAATATTTTAATTTTTTGCGATTGCATTCATTATTTTACCTCTGTGGTCAAACAATCTCTGCAGCGCAATTGAAACTGTCCAAGCATGTTTTATCCACTGAGATTGTCTAGGCAGGTATTGCAAGGGCGTTTGCTACACTGGCTACGTCACCTAGTTTTAACTACACTGAAAAGCCTAAATGAAAAGCGAAACGTTTTTTGTTCTGTCCGCATGTGATTACTTTGCTAAAAAGGTTCAGCAGATTCTACGTACCATGGTAATCTACGTTATGCAAAACAGGTGGAGGAAATATAACTTTGGCATAATTTTCTAATTGAACGAAACATTACGAAATGATGCTGAAGATTCGTATTATTGTTGTGCGCACAGTTATATGTTGAACAAAGTCTTCTGTTCTATATAATAAGCTGTTTATTGTTGCGTAATTGTGCCTATAGCTTTTTAAATGATGCGAGAACCAAAAGCAGTAAGGTGCTATGTAGCCCTTGTGCTTGCAAGTGTGGCAGCCCTAGATTGAGCTAAGTAGCTGACCATGTATAGGTATTAGTTTAAGTGTAAAACTTCTTTGAACCAGATGTGACGCCTGTATCATACTACTAAATTTATATTGCCTATAAAATGAGATAGTCAGCACTGCAACCACGATTGAGGTTTCATGGATGTTGCGCCTCATACACCACGGTGGTGCAGTCACTAAGGCACTCGACTGCTAAGCCACCACTCGCGGGATCAAATACCGGCTGTGGCGGCCGCATCTTCAACGGAAGCGAAAATGCTTGATGCACGTCGGCTTAGATTTAGGGGCAAGTTAAAAAACCTCAGATTGTAAAAATATCTGGAGTTCTCCGCTACGGCGTGTCTTATAATAAGGAGGTGGTTTTGAGACATTAAACCAAAAGAACGAATATTATTAGGTTACGCATCCATAGGGTCTCTTTTCAAAGCACCTCCGAGACTTGGCGTTGCTCCATGGTAGAAAATTTGATTGCTACACAGAATTCTTGGGTTGAATTTCTGATGGGATCATGTTACTTATTCTTTGCATTCGGCGAATCCACGCTGTCGATAACAGTTTTACAGTGAAAGCTGTATATGGCTAGGAGGAATAAAAAAAACTATCTGACAATGGTGTCACGAGTGGCCTCCATTGGCTGTCCTTTAAGTTACGTCATTTTCAGCGCCACACACAAGCAAGCGAGTCGTTGACTGCGGTGTGAGTGACGTAGTCCATCCATCGCAGCCATGGCGCCAAGCGCGTGCGCATCAGTTTCTCCCTAAACCTTTCATATCGGTATGCCACGGAAAACTTTGCGCCGGCAGGGCCAGCATCAGTGGCGCACCTATGACGTAGTGCCTTTACAAGCCGCGCTGAATTACTATGTGGAATGCAAGCGCAGATGGCGGCCGGATCCCGCAAACCGCGCCACCGAGTCAGCTCGCAATGTCAAAACATTGCGTGAACGCCACGCCGTATAATGAATGCGTTGTTCTTCAAGAAGAAAAAAAGGCACCTAATTTCTTTCTACCTACAGGCGACACAGCGCCGTGCCTACGCCGAAGTGGCGTTGCGGAGTCCGCGGGATGATTGTGGGGGCGCGTTGGCCCGGGCGAACACCCGCTTTCGGCGAGAGTTTCTCCAGCGGCAATTTGGCTTCAGCTGCGACGTCTGAGACCATCTGCGGTTCAAGGACAACCACTGTATATCTCAAGGCGAAGCGCATGTAGCCACTCATTAGCCTACTCCAAGATCATGATCATGTGAGGCACAATGTGTGTCATGTGATAATAATACTCTGGTAAACCCAAGCCAAACTTGCGTGTACCCTTTGCGGTGCTTTATCGACTTCCTGCTTGTACCGGCAGTTATACTTGTCATCTTTGGCAAGTTCAGTTAGGTTGTTTTCATTTCAGATGAAGCGTCTTAGAAAGCTGGTGAGAAGAGAAATCATGCGCTTTGAGAAGTGGTCAACGCTGCCGATGTTAGTGGCAGCATTGTTTCAGAAACATGCGGCCTGTGTCAGCCGCATATTTTCTAAATGTTTTCAGCAATATTAGGTTAGTTATTACAATTACTTCTTGGTTATTTTTGTCATTTGTATTATTCTTAACCAGTTATAATCACTGTTATTTTTTCTATGGCCGATAGTGGGCGCTTCGCTGTGAGCGTGATTAGGGCGCATGAGATCCATGAATGGCGAAGCCAGACCTTTAAAGGGATTCGCACTTAAAAAGATGTTTAAATGAGCTCTATTCCTGCAGGTTCGTCATGTACTCGTCGTGTCTCGTTATATGGATGGCCACCGTTCTGGTAGCCTTTGCTCAAGCCGGGCCTACGCGATCGGCGTGGGCGATGGTGTTGCCCGGGACCCACAAACTGGTGATTCGGGACGGCGAGCCGCCACTCGTGACTCCCTCGATGGCATCACGGCACAGAGCGGTGGCCTGGGCGAGTTTTCGTAATGACATACATGAAAGTGGGTAAGTGTACTAGGCAGTTTCTTTAAAAATCACAATAATTTATCACTTAATCAGCTTTTGCTGGTAAAATATTCTGTCCAAACGAAATTCCTCTTTACATTTTTACACGGGCTCTTCCTTATACAAAAAATGAACATTAATGTCGTTGTGTTATTCTTGGTCTCACTCTCTTTTTTCTAAATTTTGAAATTCAGTGCTGGCATGAAAAGATTAACATGTGTTCTATCGTATTCAAGCCATAACTGCTTAGTAAATCTGTGCGCTACTTCCTAGGGTACCTTATGCGTTGCTTAAAATACAGTGCAATTCATGTTTTCTGCAATAAGTGCAGTTAGCGTTTAACTCAAAACGTTCATATTTTTTACGTAAGCAATATTACGGTGCGCAGTCTATGCGCTCCAATGGTTTATTCTTTTCGCCTTTCGCTGTTTTAGAAACCCGTTCTTCGGTGGTCTACAAAGATTATTTCTCATCAAGATTAGGCTTATATATTTTTTTCTTGGAGAAAAAGCTTTTTCATACACCCGTACTTTGAGTGAATAGTCGGATGAATTTTCACTAGTCATGATATGTCTTTAGGTTCAAAAACGTCAGCTTTTCGCACGCGTAAGGCTCTTCAGAGCTTACCCCAACAAAATTTTGATTTGAATTGTTTGGTTACGTATGGGTAGTACATACTGATGTAGCATTTGGAAACTGCGGGGCTTTCAAGGATAAAAATTGCGCGAAATCGAAGAGACAGTGTAAAAAAGACTCGAACAGATCGACTGCAGACGATGAAGTGTTCCGTGACGGTCAGCTAAATAGGCCTTCCGAACAAAACTGCATGCGCACTCAAGCACACACACACACACACACACACACACACACACACAAACACACATACTGTTCAAAAAGACTGCTCTGCACTGTATAGTGATATCGAGGCCTTACTGACACTGGTACTATATTTCAGTTTTTGTCATGAACACTTCAAACAGCCCCTCTAGGCGTCCCTATGAACTGCGGGGCAAATAAAATGCTGATTTTATGATTAGAAGTCCAGCATAAAGCACTTGCACAGAATACATGAAAAACTTCTAGCCAGCTATTGTAGCAAAAGAGCCATTTGGGCGAGTTGGTAAGAATTTATTATGAATGCAAAAATGGGGGTGCAGGAAAGAGCAGGTACTACAGAACAAAACAACGACACAAGCGCACACTCGCTATTGGAAGTTATTTGAAGCGATAGCGTTAAAAAGGGCGTTTCGTGAAAATTGCGGCGTCGGCATTATTGGTTGTGAGCAAAAAAAAGGTCATCATCTTGTGCTTGACCGAAAAATCGGGAAACATGTAACTAAAAAAGTTTTGAATTTCTTAGTTCGGCTGCAGACCAAACCCGGGTCATTTGCGCCACAAATTAGTGTTCCAATAAAGCCAAGTTTGTGCTTGTGGATGTAATGAAAACAACTTCATGTGATTGGAACTGCAGGGAAATGACTTTCATGCTTCACAATACAAGATGAATTATTGGAGTAGTAATGGGCGGTACAAGCGTGCGTTTTTCTCGGGCGTCACCACATGTGATTATGATAATGACTTCAAGGTTAAAAGCCGGTCACCAAATACAAAAGGCACACACGCTACTGCGGCTCTTTTCTTAAGGCCCCGTGGTTTGTACATAGCAAGTTCGAAAAGATGTCATGCACTTTTTAGTGGAAGTACGTATTGGGACAAGACATCGCTATTGCGTTTAACCATTAAAGGCGAAGTATGATTGCCCCCCTTCCCGTTTTTGAAGTGACAACAGGTACACAGGTTACCTACAAAGTACATAGTATGGTTTTTCTTGCCTAACACACAGAAATACTGCCCCAATACTCAAAACCTCATGCAGACACATGCGTATAAACTGAAAAAAAGAGGGAGGGGGACGCAAGCCAAAACCACGGGCGAGGTTTATATAGTCACGAGTCCGATGGAATCCCGTCTGGTCAGGGACAAACATAGTGCAAAATAACAAAAACGCCGACCAAGGTGAAATACACAAAATTTAAAAAGACGTTTTGGCCCCCCACACGGCAGCCTTATTCACAGTCATTTCTCGTATACTGTGAACAAGGCTCCCGTGTAGGGAGCCGAAACGTCTTTTTAAATTTTGTGTATTTCACCTTGGTCGGCGTTTTTGTTATTTTGCACCACGGGAGAGGACTGCGCAGAACCACAAGAACAAAACTGCCTGAAATATCTTCCTGCGTAAGCTAACCAAACTTCTTAAGGACAGAGCAACTGCGGTCTTCTGTGTTTTTTTTTTTCCTTAAGTTTTCGCTTAGGGTACATCTTCCGCTCTAACCTGCCGCGTTTTAGTCCCCTTAGTATCTCGTTTACCATGTTTAATGTGTTAACGAGAAGATAAGTGGGCGCAGTAACATGTTAAACAGTGGTAAGCTGTCTATCATTGAGATTCGAGAATTTGACACTGGTGTCGATGTGATTACCGTTATTGCCGGTCTGGTATTTTTTAAGATATAGCAGCCAGGCTTGTTGTTTTAGTGGGTACTATTTGCGTTCGGCTTCTTAAGTGTGGGGACATGTGACACTAATAAAAGGCAACTGTATCAAATAAGGCTTACTTGTTAGTTGACCACTGCTCCGGTCGCTTTCTTTTTCTCGTCCAATTTTCTTCCACTTCAATAGTTTTCTCTGTCGTCTCGTTAGCTTCGCAACAACACAGCGTTTATTCAACGCCAATGGTGGTATTCAACATCCATCCACATTGCTGACAATTATGTTCTCGTCTTGCGATTTTCGCATTCCACTTGGCTCACCTGCTTTCACTCCCCAACCACACACCTAGGAACACTCACATACGTTGTCGACGCTGTCAACGCTTGGTTGAGCTTAGTGCATAGTTCGCCGTCAAAATAAAATATATTCCCAGTAGCAATTTATTTCATTGTTCTATTAGTTTGAGTATGAGCAACTCTTGGAATTAGGAACAAACATTCAAAAGTGGCTGCATGATTAAAAAAAAACAACTTTATGTAGTCAAAAGTTGTTCTTTTATATAATATTGGCAACGTGCTGCGCAAGACTATGCGTGCTGCTTAGGCATGCTAAGTTTGCCACTAAGAAGTCTTTTCAGAAATCTGCTGATGTGCCCTTTTTGTAGCGAGAATCAGAATGGTAGTTTAGTCATTTATTTTAGTGCTATAGGTAAGATTTTTTGGTTGAAAAAGGTTCCATGAGGGGTGAATATTGTTGAAATTTATCGGCCACTTTTCAGAAATCTTAAGTGAATATTTCAACGAATTACCACAGTCGTCATTTGATAGGTACAGGATATTTTAGGAATGTACAAACATGGGCACATAAGCTATCATATTCACAGGTGGGCATATTTTCTCGTATCCCTTTTCTGTTCAAGTTATGTTTACGCATTAGGTTTGAACACCTTGCGTGGAACCAAAGTCCTGTACTCTGAAACCATAATAATCTCTATGGTTCGCACACAATGGCATGATTTTCGGCATAGGGCAAAAGAAATTACGCTAGTACAATGAAAAACGCGGTTCAGCTGTTTGATTCATCGCTGCGTAAGTCAGTAAATGTTCACGTTTGCAGCTTAAGCAACGCAAGAGTTGCCTTACTGGTTACTACAGCAGGCTCAAGCATTTCTTCAAACTTCAAGAACAGTTTGCCTCTGTTGACCAATACCTGTAAACCAGCATTCGGACTCCCGAAAGCATCTCGACTATAGCTCTGCGAGTTCGTCTGGGGCTACTGCGATGTTCATCAACAGATGAGACAATCGAGATCGCTAATGGCTACCCACTCAAGACGCAAGACGCATATCATAATGGAAGTGCTCAGAGCACACGTGAGGCATGTTACTCGCGCCCCTGCCCATCATGTAGCTTCACTGCCAGAACACCGACCTCGTGACACATTTTGCCAGACAGTCTTGTCATATCGCACACGCATTCCTGCGGCATATACAACTCCATCCAGAATTTCATCTCCCCCGTGGAGTATGACTTATGCACATGTTGAACACACGGTTCCAGGCATAGGGTCAAAAGCCCGGCTCTCGTCTCCAGCGCTAAAGCATCTTTCTCTTCTCTTGTTATAGGAGAAGTACAGTGAGCATACTCATCTATATACTGACGCTTCAACTAAAGTGGATGGGTCTGCAGGGTCAGCGATCTTTCCTGCAACAGCGACAACGTTGAAGTTTCGGTTATCCCATCAGACATCATCGACAGCTGCGGAACTTGCTGCTCTACGTAGTGCAGTTAAAGTCGCTAAACATCAAGAAGCCAAGAAATGGAGCGTGTTCCCGGACTCTAAGGCAGCACTACAGTGCTTGATATTCGCCTTTTTCGGGGACCTCATGAACAACTAGTGCTGTAAATTAGAGAGCTGCTTCACCATCTCTTCGACGAAGGACACAGAATCACCTTTCAGTGGCTTCCAAGTCACTGCGGCATATGGGGCAACGAACATGCCGATGCAGCTACTCGATCAGCACACGAAGATGGTGAAGAAGAATCTATACCATTTTCAAGGACTGATGCTGCGATGACAATCCGAAAAATCGCTAATGCGGAATGAAAATCCTTGTGGAACACCGAGTGCTTACGGCACACGTGACTGCATAGACTGGACACGTCTCGTCGACTCCGGCCTCAGTCTGGACTCTCTCGACTCGAGACAACGGTGCTTTGCCGACTATGGCTTGGTGTCGCCTTCAGCAAAGCTTTCACCTTCCGAATCGGCATGCAAGACAGTGCTGCTTGGGGTCATTGCGGCAGTGATGAAACTATATAGCACGTCCTCTGTCACTGCCCTCGTTAAAGCGTGCAAAGACGGCAACTAGCTGCTGCGTTAGCTTGCCTTGACGACAGACCTTTGTCTGAACAATCAGTGCTTGAAAGGCGACATGATCTGTGTGCTCACAGAAAATCAGTGAAGGCCTTACTGAACTTTTTAAATAGCAGTGGCCTATTGTATAGACTATA